TTTGATCCCTGGTTGGGACACATATAGGAAGCAACTGATAAATGTTTCTCACATCAATGTTTCTCTCACCCGCCCCCTTCCTCTCCTTCTAAAAATTCAATAGACATATCCTCAGTGAAGCTTTAAAAAAATTTCCTTATAATTTTTTTCAAATATCCCCACCTAACCAGTGTGTGAACTTAGGACCAACTCTGGAAAGTGTTCCTCAATCCTTTGTGTCCCTCCAAACAGTGCTAGTGCCTTCACACAGTAGATGTTTGGTAAATGTATGATGACTATATATATACTAATTTGCTGATAATCTGAAGTCACCAAACACTTCTCTATCATTTTGAGAGATTAAAAAATAAACCTAGCTGATACAAGCGCTTAGTCAGACAAGAGATTCGTTAGACAGCTGTGTAGTTTTTAGTTTTAAAACTACAGGTTTGGTTTACAGAAATAACATGTTTGTTATTCGTAAATGTTTGGAATTAAGAGTTAATAGTGGTATCATAATTGTTTTGTTACTTCTGCAAGTGGATGTATTCAGAATCCAGTACTTATTCTCTATAAAAATACAAATACCCAGAGATGTAAATAGAGGGTTGTTGGTGTTGGAATTGAGAAGAGGGATGATGTGGTAGCTAGGTATTAATGCAAGAAAAGAGAAACAAGCAGAGATTTAAAAAATAAGGTTTTCAAATATTTTTGTAAGCTTGAAACTAGTTTTAAATATATAAATAGTAATAATAACAGCTAACACTTTTTCAGTGTTTACCATATGCCAGAGACTGCTTTATTTGAAGTCTTTATAATTTTTAAAATAGTTCTCCCAAATAGATACTATTATTATTTTTAATTTACAGGTAAGAAAAATGAGGCTCAAAGAAGTTAGTCATGTGCCCAGATTCACACAGCTAGAAAGTGGTGGAATTAAGAACCAACCCAGGTGATCTGGTCCCAGAGCACTTGCTGGTAAATATGGGAGGCAGGGTAGCTTACGGTTAAATATAGCTTCCCTTCTAGTAACGCAAATGGAAAAACATTTATAGCATCAGTTGTTTGAGAAGAAAAAGAAACGAGAGAAAGGGGGTAGGAGAAGGGGATTGACCTTTACTCGGGGTTGATTATACAGATGCTTAGGCTCACAGGGAGAGGAGGTAAGGAAGGCGTGTGGTAACCTTGACCAGTATTCAAGAAATGCAGTACCGTGAGTTCTTTTTTCTGCACAGAAAAAAGTCTGCATAGCTGTGATACTAATCTAGAAATATAATTTATCTTTAAAGTATATAATGTATGTAAGTTATTAATATAGGTGAACTAAATTTACATTTTACTTCTTGAATTAAAATGTTGATTAAATGCTGTCTTTTAACAGTAAATATCAAAATTTCTCTAGTATTAATAGTTTCAATTATCCACACATATTTTTGTTAACATTTCACTGGAATGAGTTATGACAGTAATATTTTTAAGTAAAGCAAATTTTTACTTCCATATAGTAAGCGTTAGAACAAACAGAGCTGCATTCTGGGTCATAAACTAGTACGTGGGATCTGAATGTGTACAGTTGCCATCTCCATTAAATTTAATGTTCTAGGAGAGTTATCACAAGAATGCTAAAACTGTTAAAGCTGGTGTCACTCATTGCAAAAGAAAAGTATAAATGAGTAGTTAAGACATAATTTTAAAGATTAGAAGAAAAAATTTCTCTATTGGCAACTTAAAACTTAGAACTTCTAGATAAGTGACATAGAAAAATGATGGGAAGATGTTAAATTACAATTATGCATCACATTGACACAGAAATATATGGCTCAGTGGAACAGAGTTTAAAAACCACAGTAAGCATATATTATATGTTAGTATTTGAGAAAATTGACATCTCAACCACTGTGGATGGGGGGAGGGGGATGGACTCTTCAGAATATATTGTTGAAGCAGTTAGTTGGTTAACCTTTTAATTTTGTGAGATCTTTACCTCATGCTAAATGCCAAAATATACTCTATATGGGTTAAAGTTTAAATTTTTTTTTTTTAATTTTTTTGTTTTGTTAATCCTCAACCAAGGATATTTTTCCACTGATTTTTTTTTTTTTAAATACATTCTACTGATCTTTCACAGAGAGGAAGGGAGAGAGACAGAGAGCCAGAAACATCGATGAGAGAGAAACATCGATCAGCTGCCTCCTGCACATCTCCCACTGGGGACGTGCCCGCAACCCAGGCACATGCCCTCGACCGGAATCAAACCTGGGACCCCCCAGTCCGCAGGCCGACGCTCCATCCACTGAGCCAAACCGGCTCCGGCAAGTTTAAATTTTTAAAAGTAACTATGAAGTGCATTGAGTTAAATTTGATACAACCATATAATGGAATATTATGTACCATTGAAAATGATGTAAGACTGTGATTATTGACATACAACCATGTTCATTGTATTCTGAGAATACAAAATAGTATTTACAGCAGAATTTCAAATTGCAAAAATAAAAGAAATATATGTGTTTATTTATATTTAGAAGGTCAGGAAGAGGAGTTAGGATTGATTTTTGTCTTTTCAGTGTTTTCTGCCTGGAACAATGAACATGTTACCACCCAAGTGCAAGATTATCATTTGTCCTTGTGGTTTAAAATTTGACAGCAGTATAAAAGCTAAAGAATAGACAGTTTGGTAGGAGAAGAGAAAGAATATGACATTTTCCTGAAGGAAGAATAGAAAGACACAGAAAGTCAGGTGCAAGTGAAAAGTTAGGCAACTGAGGCAAAAAATAATTCAAAGAACTCCAAAAGCAATACAGTGTGTAATTTCATCGAATCAAAATGAGAAAGATAGCTGAAGTCAGGAAAACCATACAATAGTCAGAACATAAAAAATATATTCAAAAGTGGAGGAGGAGCGTGATGAGCCAAGTAAATGCTAAGTAATCATACAAGGGAGATTCACATACCCAGGTTCATCTCATGTCTTTATATAGCTTTTTGAGGGCTTCTCCATATATTCTATTTGAGAAAGGACTGTCTAACTTTGTAGTGGTAGATATCCCATTTTATGCTTAAAACACTGAAGTTTAAAGGACATTTTCTTGGTGACATGGCTAGTTAATAACAAAGCCAAAGCCAGTACCTGCTTTGCTTCAGTCTGCTGGGTGGCCCTGTCATCATATCTTGTTGTCTCACAGACTTTCAGGGAGATGTGAGCATGTCATGGGAAACATCCAGTGGTTCTAGTCAAGCCTGACACACTTGATGGGAATAAATCACTGCTGTTACCTAAGATCCACCTGGCGTGGGCTTTTTCCCCACCCACTCAAAACTTCTAAGGCTTTCAAGGGTGAAATTTTGGAAGTATGCCGAAAATGAACGGCTTTTTAAATGACCACATTAGAATGAGATAATATTTCACTTACCAGATTAGCAAAAATAAGGAAGACTGAAACACTGCTAGCAAGAATTCTGGAGAGTAAATACTCCATGCTACTGGAAGAAGTGTAAATTGGTGTATTTATAAAGGATAAGCTGGTAGTATATATACCTTTTTCCATAGAAGTTTTATTTCTAGTTTATTCCAAGGATATAATAGGGTAGATGCCCAAAAATATGCATGCAAAGGTTTCACCACAGCGCTGTTGATTTTTAAAGTATTTATATCTTTCTATGTTGACTGAATTTTTTTTCTGTTAGCACATATTGCTTTTATAAGCAGTAAAAAAAAAAAAAGCTATTTTTATGTATGGAAAAATAAAACCATCTATCACAGGATTCTTGTATCACTACCATAACTCCTCCTTGATAAGAACTTCAGCAACAATGACCCTGGAAACTACTGGTTTTCTCTTTCATCTCTGACAGTAGAAGGATTAAGTCCTACAATCAATAGGGCAAGATGGTTTTGGGGAAGCAGTGTGATTGGTTGGAAAGAATATAATAATCCAAGGACCTAAGTTTCAAATCTATCTTTGCCTCTTAGCTAGAGTGTGATTTGGGGCAAGTTGCTAAACCTCTCTAAAGCTTTTTTTCCCCCCAGCAGTAAAGTGAAGATAATGAAAATATCTCTCCTGGGGTAGTTTTAGTAACAAATACTATTAGGTTTGTAAGAGATCTTTGTAGACTCTGTGGTTCAGGAACAATAACAACAATCAACATACTGAGCACTTCAAATGTATTAACTCATTTAATTCTTATAACAACTGGTGTGGTTTATCCTCTCTTACAAGTGAGCAGGTTGAGACACAGAGAGACTTAGGAACCTGCCAGGGCCAGAGTTATAAAAGGTAGAGTTATAATGGAAGATCAGACTTGGGGAGAAATGTAGCAAGAAATCTGTAAGAAGTAGTTACGTCTCACCATTCTGCCAGAGTTCTTTGAGGAAGACGGCAAGTATGTGGGAAGGGAGGACCCAGTGGAAATAACTTACAAGGGTTTCTCTCTTTACAGAGTCAAACAGCTAAATTATTACAGGTTTGGGGATATAAAATAGGAAAGCTCCAAGATTTAAAAATGTTAAGAATAAAGTTTGTATGGGCTTAATCCTGGAGTGGTCTTACTCAGTACTTTTAGAAATAATCTGGAAAAAGGAAAATCAGAAGCCTTAAATAGTCAGAGACAGAATTTCTTCTGAGACTGGAACATTAGGGCTACACATGCAAAGGGAGAGAATAGAAACATGACAGAAGCATCAGCAGAGTTGATTTAAAATATATATAGATCTCACACAGATGTTTCTCTTTGTCTCTCCTCCTCCCTTCCACTCTCTCTAAAAATCAATGGGAAAAAATCCTCGGGTGAGGATTAACAAAAATAATAATAATAATATATATATATATATATATATATATATATAGAGAGAGAGAGAGAGAGAGAGAGAGAGAGAGAGAGTGTTAAGTAGATGTAAATATTTAAACACACGCACCCAGAGTACATTTTGAAGATGGTAGCCTCTTAGCCCTCAGTCAGTAGTATCCTAGGAGGTGACATTTTAGATTGTATTCTATCACCTCTGTTGTCGTCTCTCCCTCTATTTTCACCAACTCTTTTAACCAGAAATCCTGGGTATCACCAGAGAATATATGTGAAGCAAAATGGAATCTGTTCACCTCTAATAGAAAGCATTAGGGTTCTCATTGCTCTGCATAATGGAACTAGACCAAAGTCAAAGGCCATTAGAATAGTAAAAGAAATGTAGTTGTTTTCACATAACACCAGATTAAAAGGAGTAGGATTTGTATCTGAAATGAAGAATTGGCAAAGATATAATTACTTTCTGAATTTAATTATGAATTATAGATGAAGGGTGGGTGTTTATTTACCAATTTCTGTGCATCTACCACATCTTCACCACTGAGCTCTGACAGAGGAGACATGATCCTGAAGTAAAAGATCAGATGCTGTACCATTAACAGTCTGAAAGCATAATGCTTTTGAAATGCATCCATGTTAAATTTAATTGTCCCCAACCCCATTCCATCTGGATTTTTAAAATCTGAATAGTTCAATGGCAAGATATTGAACTTAATGGAACAGTGATCTGATTATCTTCTCTTCTTCAGAAATAATTAGAGGAAATTGCAAGTAGAAAGAAAATACACTTGTTATCTAGAGATTATTTTGGATTAATACTCAAGATGACAGTGTTCTAGAGAAAAAAACAGTGTGTCCTGTTTTTAGGTGCAAGGAATATGTGGAGATAATTCCACTATCAAAGATTGTATGTAAATTTTCCAAGATGGGGAGATTATGATGCTAAATGTCTTGCTGTTTCAGATCAGCAAAACCAAGACTTAACAAAATGTGGGCCTTCATAGGAGGCCTGTGAAGTAAATATAAATAATAAGTATATTTGTGCAGCTCTTCATAGTGTATAAAATGCTTTTATGTGAGATGTGGAGGTGAAGCTTGAGCTGGCTTGCTTCTTAGCTATACAGTTTCATTAATATATTTCTAACTCCTAGTTGTGTTCTGAAGCAGTCTCTTCAGTTACTATTAGGTGTGCCGGGGTGTCATGATCCTTTGCTTCTTGTATTTGACTTTTAAGACTGTTGGCCAAACATAGTGTTGTAGCAATAGAGAACTGTATTGTTGAAGTACTTTGCTTATTTCTTTTCTTTTTTCCCCCTCTTTTTTCTTTTTCCCTTAGATATATTCTGAGGACCAAGATTCATTGGGGATGGTTACAGAATTGAACCATAGTAGGCAATGAAAATATACATTCAGAGTTGAATAAAACATCCCTGCTGGAAGGAAAACACACCCCTACTATTAAGTTTAAATTGGCTGCACTGGTGTATGTTGAACAATTTGGTGTTAGGCTGTTTACTTTTTAGGTTTCATAGGTTAAGAGAGTTTTGTTCGGTCATGCTAGGATGATAGAGGAATTCATTCATAGGGACTTTGGGAAATGTACATTAGGATTAGGCTATTTTTTAAAGCATTAGTCCTGAGACAGTTTCTTGAAAAACTGAGTTCTGAAACCAAATCCAGTTGGGAAAACTGAAAACTGGACCCTGACTTGGAGTTTCATAGTACACTCTGATCTTGTTCTTTGAAGCATTGTTTGTACCGGTAATAGTTAAGTAAGGTCATCTTAATATTCATAGGTAGACAAGGCTCATAGAATATTATATAGCAGTTGAAAGGGGCATGAACTAGATCATGATCTTCCAACATGAATGGATCTCAAGAACATTAATTTAGAGAAATATTACAGAATATACGAAATTGCGCAGCCCCTCAGTGCTCGCAGCCCCACCCACCTGTGCTGGTCTTTGGTCGTTATGGCGTTAGGGCCACAGGCCTTTTATAATATAGATGGGAGATGCATATAGAATATAGTTTGTTTTTTAAAAGCAGCATGCTTTTAACAGTATATCTGTGTAATATGAATATATTTTTATAAAGTCTAAACGGGTTCATACCAACCAGGTATAGTCACTTGGAGAAGTGAAAGTGTAATATGCAAATTGACCAAATGGCCAAATAGCAGAATGACCGTCCAGATGACCTTCCGGACAAAGCCGGGGCTGCGAGGGTCGAGGAGGCCGGGGCTGGATGCGAGAGCCAAGACAGCTGGCACTGTGAAGGCCTACTCTTGCATTAATTTCGTGCATCGGGCCTCTAGTATCTTTATATTCATTAATTGGCTGTATACAAGTTAAACTGAGTTTTGAGCTTCGGTACTATAAAATAGGAAGAAAGTATTTTCATTCTAGTCCATTACAATGAAATTATTTTTCACACATTATAAGGAATAAATGAAGTAACACATACAAGCAGTCTAGACTGCAAATTTTCAAGAGATAGGCTTATTCAAGCTTATATTTTGGTCCAAGAGATCTTTTGAGAGCAACAAAGAGAAGTTTGAACTTGGTTCTTGAGCAGTTAGTGAAGAGTTGAGAAGCAGCAGCTATAGGTTGAGTGAAACATTGTAGTTCAAACCAGTTAAGCTTAAAGAAGCAAATCCTTTTTTGATCTTTCAATGTTGGTAAGAAATGTGCTTTCCAGTTCCATGGCTGTTCTTTATTCTGTTCTGTAGACCTGATTTTGGCATCTTCCGAAGGGAACTTGAGGGCAGTAGTGGTTCCGTTTGACTTTACCAATCTCCAGGATAAATTTTAAGTGGCTGCATTTTTTGTGTGTAGATATGCTTTTTCTTTAAGAAAGGGTAATTCTGAAAAAGCTGTACCCACATACCAAGTTTTCTGTCAGAACATTCATCTATTGATTTAATTTGCCTAATGTTATAAGAACCATTATCTGAAAAGATTTCATCAACTAAAAGTATCTCTTCTTTAAAACAGTTTGTTTTCAGGCACATGTATTGATTCATCTTTCCAAACTGGTCATTTTTATATTTCATTCAAGTTAAAACAAGGATTAACTGATCAATCAACTTTATGCTAAAAAAATGTATTAATACAAGCTATGAAAGGAAGAATTTAATTCACATTACAAATATTTACTGGCACCTCTACATACTTGCGTGTGAGGGAAATTCAGAGTATTAAAACATGTTACTGCCCTTTGTGACCAGACTTCTTCCTAAATTGGTGTTAGCCTGCAATCCATATGCATAAAAATTGCTGGTGATGTAAGATGATTCTTCCACCAAAACAAGTGGAAATTAGTAGAGTATAAACTGTGAAAGTACTGGGTAGGGTGAACTTCAGGAATGTTTTCTACTGTAGTTGGACAGCCCCCAAGGAGAAGGGCTGCCAGGCATGACTACCTGGAGGAAAGGTGTAAAGCCTCCTGTCTGACCTCTCCATTCTGCCTCATGGGCGAATACCTTGCACGTGGCATTCGCCAGTAGGCGTTGTTCATGATGATAGCGCACTGCAGAGGGGGGAGTTAGCCTTGTGTCCAGTGACATCTTGGTGTAATTTTGAGGTGGGTCTTGGGGATTGAGCATAATTAACAGAAAGTGCGAGAACTTTTTTAGTGCAGGTGACTTCTAGTTTCGACTCTCATGCTAGCATTATTGTTGTGATTGTTTTGCATTTCTTTGTGCTTCACTGTTGCAGGAGTATGTCTGTCTCAATTTTTAAAAATATATGGCAGGTTTTCTTTCAGTGATCAATTGGACTCTTCCCCGCCTGTGTCTCTGTAGTATAAATACCACCATTTAATATGTAGAATTGATCATGAATGTGGGCAAAGTCAGTGAGTGCATTCAATGTCTGTTTGTAGATAAAGCTTAACATTATTCTCTAATAACAGGTTTATCAACAGACCATTTAAATCAGCCAGTTCCTCTCAATATAAATCATAGAGATGTTTAAGATGTCATTTCTTCTCAGAACAAGAATGAGAGCTGCCTGTCAGTTCTCTAGTTTGGCTTTCATGCCATGGAAGTCCTTGGAAACCTGTTTTGAGAGAGTTCTAAATCATGCATATTCCTGTCTTGCAGGTTTTTTTCCTGATCAGGCGGACAGATCAGCATAGAGTCCAAGGATGAATGTTCATCGTGGCAGTGAGAGTGACAGGTTATTGCTGCAGGAGGCCAGCTGCCTAATGGATGAAACCTCGGCTGCAGCCCAAGAAAAAGAAACTAGTAGTCTGACTTCTTCTGGTCTTCAAAATCTTGCTTATCCGCTAACTCCCAGGAGTGATGGTACGGAGACTAGATCTTGGCTTAATGTAGAGGCCTTCTGACACCTGAGCATCCACTCTGCCCAGAAGACACAAATGTTCTTCATCTTTATAAATAAGATATCCAGTTAATTGGCTTAGCTTACCTTTCACAATTATATAAAGCTAACCATCACAGAAAATCTCCACTTATTCAATCAATCTAGAACATCTAACTTAGGCATAATGGTGTGAGAAAAACAGTCATGGGTTTGCAAGCAAAAGACCGGTTCAGATTCTAGCTCTGCTATCTATCAGCTGTAACCATGGAAAGATTCTTAATCTTTCTGAGCCCTGCTTTCTTAATCTAGAAAACAAGGATATAACATTCTTCTGACTTCACAAGGCTAGAATATTAGAGTTAATGGATGCGAAGGGTCTTGTAAACCTTTTTCTTTTTTGGTTTTAGAGAGAGAGGAAGGGAGAGGTATAGAGAGACAGAGACATCAATGAGAAAGAAACTGATCGGCTGCCTCCTGCACACCCCCCACTGGGGATGGAGCCTGCAACCCGGGCATGTGCTCCATAGGGAATGGAACCGGGAACTCCTGGTCCATGCTCAACCATTGGCCATACCGACCGGGCTCTTTTTAACTTTTAAATAAAAACAGTAGCAACAATAATAGCAATTACCACTTATTGAGCACTCACTGTGCTAGGAATTTTACATACATCTCTTTATTTTATTTATTATTTTTTTAATTTATTTAATATATTTTATTGATTTTTTTTTACAGAGAGGAAGGGAGAGGGATAGAGAGAAACATCCATCAGCTGCCTCCTGCACACTCCCTACTGGGGATGTGCCTGCAACCAAGGTACATGCCCTTGACCGGAATCGAACCTGGGACCCTTGAATCCGCAGGCTGACGCTCTATCCACTAAGCCAAACCGGTTAGGGCTACATACATCTCTTTAGATTAAGAGTGGCAAACTGTGGTCAAATCTGCACTGCTGCCTATTTTCGTCGATAGAATTTTGAAATACAGCCATCATGCTCATTTGTTTACATATTGTCTATGGCTGCTTTCTTGCTACAATGGTAGAGACTGACCCACTGAACCTAAAATATTTACTTTTTGGGTCTTTACAGAAAGTTTGCCGATCCCTGCTTAGATTAGTCCTCCTTTTAAAAATGACGAAACGTGGGTAACTTTTGCTCAGGTTCACACTGCTAGGATGTGGGGACTGAGATTTGAACCTGTGTCTTTTGGATCAGGCTGTGCTATTGTATACGTATCAGCTGATGGACAGGCGGAGTCACTGCCCCCTAGAGCGCACCATTAGAGAGAAGTTGTGCAGTGAGTCTCTTTTCCTGCTCACCTGTTTAAGGATAGTACCTGAGGCATCCTTCAGGAATCGACCTAATTTAATTGCTTCATTGCTGGGGGCAAATCAAGCTTTCTAGAGAACTGAATTAGTGATTTACATACCTACTTTCATTTTTAAGAACGGCACTGCCAGTGTGAAAGCCTGTCTGGTGATTAAGGTGTTTCTTCCTACAAGCCTGCCTGTGGGTTGTGTGGGAACTTCGCTCTTGGTATGCAACATCAGGGCCACATTGAAAACTTAAGTCCTGCAGAAGCTGGAGGATGTAAACCCGAAATTGGCTTTTGGTCTAGATTTTGCTTTCCTTTTCTCCAGAAACAAGGTCGGGGGCGTTAATCAGACTAATTCCCCAGAGGTATGGGCAATAATCATGTTCATGAAATACTGTATGCAAATTTAGAATATAGGAAGGGTGGGAATGAGAAATTCAGTTGTATCTATAACATTTTATTTCTTTCCAAAAAAGGTTTGAAGGAGAGAAAAATGTTAACTGAGCTTGGCATATGCATGTGGTATTAACTCTCTGCTTTGGTATATTTGACATTTTTTATTAAGAATACTTTTTATATTAAAATATATTAGGAAAACTGCCTATTTAAGCATCCTCTGAGCCCTGGCCAGTGTGCTAAATGGTTAGAGCGCTGACACAGGAAATGAAGGGATGAGGGTTCAATTCCTGGTCAAGGGCATGTACCTGGGTTGCAGGTTCACTCCCCATCCCAGATGGGCTGCATGCAGGAGGCAACCAGTCGATGTGTCTCCTCCTCCCCTCTCAGTCACTCTCTCCCTTTCCCTTCCACTCTCTCTGAAAAGCAATGGGGGGAAAATATCCTCATGTGAGGATTAACAAAAAATAAAATAAATAAAAAATAAGAGCATCCTCTGGGGATCCTTTTGTAAATACTGGCTCCTTGCAGCCAGAACTATGAGAAATAATCTGTTAAGTCTCATTCCCTATCTCCTGTGTACTCCCAGAGTTCATTAATTCCAGTTTAAGTCTCTTGCATGATGTGGTATTGTTCGTTTTTAAGTGCTCTCACATTCTTTCAGTTGATAGTCAATCCTGTGAGGTAGGTGGAATGAACGTTATTCTCATTTTAGAGATGACGAGCCAGGTTTAGAAAAATAAATTACTTAAAGAAAATAGCTTTTTGGTGATACAATAACTGAGCATGAATCCTAACCCAAGGCCATTTGCATGGGAATTTTGCAGCTGATAGAAGACCTGCCTGTTCAGAAGTGGTGTTGGTGATGTTAGGATGCTCCTTTGCATAGTGAAAATGCATTTTTCTGTGACTTCTAGGAAAAGTGATGCATTAGACAATAGACTCTGTCATTGTCTTTCTGGAAAATAGAATTTGGAAACATTTTTAAAGACTGTAGAAAGTAAATGGTTTTGGCACACCAGTGGTAGCACAAATAAAACACAGGAAGTATAAGTATTATTTGGAGAAGTGAAAACAAAAGTAGAAAGTTATTGCCTCTGTGGAACAACACTGGGGCGGCCGTGGAGTGGCAGGGGATTGCTGGTTTTCCACAGAAAGTTGTCCCTAATGTTTTAATTTTTTAAAACCATATCGAAGTTTACTTTTAAAGTTTTTAATCATTTTATTTTAAAATGTGGATATTACTGCCTTTATCCCTTCTCCCTACACACACGTGCTTGGCATGAGTGGAAAAAAGCTCAGGGGAATCCAATGTAAGTCTCCTGTTATATTTTTTCTTTACTTGCTCTAGGCAAGAGTTTTTGCCTGTTTGCCTCTAAACATCTATGGGGGTTTTGTTTAAATTTTTATTGTTTTTTAAAGAAAACAGGGTTTATTTTTCCCCCAAGGCTTTTGCAATTGAGTTATTTTGGTTGGTTTGTATCTTTCAGACCTTTCACTGGACTATGCCTCTCAGCCAGCAAGCCTCCAGTTCCCTCACATAATGCCACTTCCCGAAGACAGCAAAGGTTCCTGCTTCCCAGGTGGGACTAAACGGAGCTATGAACCCTTTATTGCTCCAGAACGATTTGGAAACAGCACTATGGGCTTTGGCAGTAACGTTCATTCCCAGGCGCCAGAGAAAGTGACACTTCTCGTAGACGGCACACGTTTTGTGGTGAATCCACAAATTTTCACTGCTCACCCGGATACCATGTTGGGAAGGTAACTGATGATACTTCCCTTCTAAATGCACTCTGTTCTCTATGACTGGAATACCTGCTGTTTATCTTGCTTTAGATGTGAAAATGAAAAGCATTGCATTGCTGATTTTCTGCTTCCTCCTTTGGTGAGATGGAGGGCAAGCTGGTACAAAACGTACATGTGTTGGTAATTTGGGGGGCTGGGTATTTTATTTATAAAGCCAGTATAGTGAACAAAAGAAGGGAGTGCAGCCAGAACTATCAGAAATAATATGTTAAATCTCATTCCCTATTCCTCTATAAACTAACTCTGAAACAGAAATCAGATACTTAATTTATTTTATTCACAATTTGCATAACCTCCCAAAAGCAATGTTTTTCTGAGTTCTACGAGTCAGAGATACTGGGATAAAGTGAGAGCTGTAAATTGAGTTCATCTTTCTTTCGTCTTTTGTCTCTTAATAAAAAAAATAGAATTAGACAAAAGTTTCACAGGACACAACAAAGCCGTTTCACTGAAAAGTAGTATATTGCCTGCCATCTATTGCCAGTTCGGCTGAGAAATAGATGTTTTACTGTCTTTTTCTGATGCCTCCATCACTACTTGTTTTCTGACATCTGGCTTTTCTGTTTCTTTGTTCTTCATGTTTCATCCAGACTGTAGTCTTATCCTCCTCTCACTGCCCACTGCCCCAACTTTTCAGGATTGGAATTTAGGGAATGGAAAGAGCCTGCCCAAAGGAGCACTGCCCACAAGTGCTCTTGGAGCCGGGGCTGGAGGTTAGGAGATCCTCTTTCTGCAGTTATAGACCTTAACATGAGGAATAGCCAACGGGACAAGAGTAAAATAATAATAATGTGTGTGTGTACACACCTTTGACTTTTAAGGATTTTTATCTACTTAGAAGTAGATGTTATTTAAAGATCTAACCTCACTCAGGACATTGAACTAATTTGAACTGAATTAGAAATCAGAGGAAAATCACTAATTTTCCTGAATCTTGGGCCAAATGGGATCCAGCTATTCAAATATGTGTTTACTTGAACATATACATACAAATTCATGATGAGCCATTTTTAACCAAAAGCAAACCTATATATTTCTCAAACATCTGAATTAAGATTAAATGAGAACATTAAATTATTTTCTAAATTGGCCCTGTATTTAATCAGACTTGACTTCCTGTGCTCAGTCTTGGTATCACCACCAGTAATGTCCCGCCGCCAGCCCCCCCCCCCCCCCCCACAGTGTTCCTGAGTTCCTCAGGGCAGTCTGGCTGAGGTAGGTTTCCTCTGAAGGTGGTGATAGAGAGAAGGCGGCAAGCATTATCTGGGCAATAGATCCTTGGCTAACAGTGTTCTTTGAATCTAGGAATGGGTTGTCCACGAAGAAGAGAATCTGATTTCTTTATCTAAATGGTTCATCAGCTGAGTGCCAAGGTCATGAGTTCTGAGAGTTACTTAGGTTTGTTGTCCTGTGGCTGCATAACAGTACGCATAAGCCCAGCCATTGAGCTTACAGATGTGGACCGCTAGCCGCAGAGGGGACAAGTTGAGAGATCAAGAATGGACTAATGCAAATCCATGCCACTATTGGAGAACTAGGTCCTGCTGATGGCAGGGGGATCATACTGCATTTGTTCACTATTTTGATTCATAGCTGTCTCAGCTAGACGTTAGCAAGAATGTTCCAGAAAAATGTTAGCATTCTTTGAAGACAGTTTTTACCAGGATGGATTTCTTATGTATGGTCTAGTGATTTGGAAAGCATGTGGAATAGAGTCTTTTTCAGACCTTTACAAGTAGCCAATTCAGAGTGGAGGCAAACGGTTTTGAGCAGTTGAGCAGCAGGACTTCCCAGCAGGTTAAGGAAGGGAACGGCAGTGTGTCCCCACTGAGAACTCAAGTCAGGCTGCTGCAGCTAGCAGCTATCTGCCCGCCCTTCGTGCTCACTTCCCATCCCACATGCAGCAGGACTCAGTTTGGGCCAGTTTTCCTGGAGGGTATCTGAGAGGAGGAGGAAGAATGGGAAAAGGTGAATCAGAAAAGCAACCTCCTCCTCGGACCCTCATGACCTCTGAGTTCATGCCTAGCGCAGGCCTGCCTCTCTGAAATACGTCAGACTGCTGATGAGCCTAACACAGTGATGGCGAACCTATGACATGCGTGTCAGAGGTGACACGCGAACTCATTTTTTTGGTTGATTTTTCTTTGTTAAATGGCATTTAAATATATAAAATACATTTCAAAAATATAAGTCTTTGTTTTACTATGGTTGCAAATATCAAAAAATTTCTATATGTGACACGGCACCAGAGTTAAGTTAGGGTTTTTCAAAATGCTGACACGCCGAGCTCAAAAGGTTCGCCATCACTGACCTAACACCTACCCTCCTTTTCTACTTGACCTGAAATTCCCATAGTTAGTTACTCCTTGGCTTGAAGAAGGGCATTTTCCCCCCAGAGCTCCACCATTGAAACGTACCAGGAAAGGGAAAGCATTAACATATCTGTACCTATTAATACAGATTCATCTGTCAGATTAGAGGTTGAAAGCAGAACTCAGGAATATTGAGAATTGGCATCCCGGGTAGGTAAATGCTGATAGAGGAGGGAAAGGGATAGGAAAGGCCAGGAGCATGAGACACTGTGTCTCTGAGCTGCCTGGCACATACACAGGCAGATTCCCAGCAGTGGGGAGCGCAGCAGAGGCAGCCTCACACTGCAGACACGCTCCCAGGGCTTGCTTCCCTGCCCCTGCTATCACAGGAGCTCGCCACAGGTGAGCCTGGCGGACGTGCCGCTTCGTGCCCCTCGCTGAAAGCCACGCTGCCTTCTTTTCCAGTCTGAAGGGCATTTCCTAAGACTTGAGTGCGTCGTTGGGACTGGGTCCCAGTGCTCTGTTAACTTACACTAGGCGAGAGTGAGAATCCTGCCGGAGAAGGTCACATTGTTGCCTGGTGTCTTTCAGGATGTTTGGACCAGGAAGAGAGTACAACTTCACACGGCCCAACGAGAAGGGGGAGTATGAGATTGCCGAAGGAATCAGTGCAACTGTCTTTCGAACGGTGCTGGTGCGCAGTAGTCTTTTCGTTATATCCTCTTCCATGGGCCCGCGTGATCAGAAGTCCTGAGAGTCCACCAGGCTGTGGTACTGACCTTAGGGTCTCTAGTTTCCAGTGGCTGACTTTCCCACTTTACTTTTTATTCCTGTAACTTAAGTATTCTTGCTGTATGAGCTCAATCAGGTATCAAGTTGTGATTTACCATGTCAGGACATCCAGGAGCCACTATGCCATTTAGTGAGTCAACCAACTTGGTGACAGTGCTAGTAACCCATCACTGTACAGAACCAGCAGTGAATAGGTGTGGAAGAGGTAATTTTTCATCTTGTTCTTTACCTACACGTCTTCCTCCTAATCTGTTTACAGGATTATTACAAAACTGGTATCATCAATTGTCCTGATGGCATCTCTATCCCAGACCTTAGAGATACGTGTGATTATCTCTGCATTAACTTTGACTTCAACACTATCCGATGTCAAGATCTGAGTAAGTACAGGAGCAGCTGAACTTAGTTTGCCTGGAATTGATTGGCATTTTTTACTGCTAACCAGAGATTCTCAAGTTTGGGCTGAGAATCATCCGCAGAGGCAGAGAGGTGCTGCTATCCCGTTACCTCTCTCGCTTCAAAGCATTTTGAGGACGTGCAGTAAACAAGAGAATGTGTAGTGAGCTCTAAACCTAGGTTGGCCCGTGAGTTACCAAGCTAATTCCTTCCCCTCTTGGCGTCTCAACCTTTTTAACAAATAAGGGTACTGATTCTCAGATCTGTGGGAAGTCTCACTAGGAAAGTTAAACAGCATAAATTGGCTGGGTTCTTAACAATTATATTTATTATTAGCATTAACTTAGTGCAGGGGTCTTCAAACTACGGCCCGCGGGCCACATGCAAATACAAATATTGTATTTGTTTCTGTTTTGTTTTTTTATTTCAAAATAAGGTATGTGCAGTGTGCATAGGAATTTGTTCATAGTTTTTTTGTTTAAAAAGTTTGAGGACCCCTGACTTAGTGTTTGTTAAGTGCTTTATAGATGTGAACTTGGTGTAAATCCTATAATAATCCTAAAAGATGGGTGATAACCTCATTTAACAAATGAGACTGAGAAGTTAGCTTGTTCAAAGCTCTTAAGCATTAAAAGCTGAAATTAGAACTGATTGTCTGACTACAAACTCCATGCTCTTATCATTACCCACTAGGCTCCCTGAAATTATTTTTAAATTGTTCTTTGAAGTTCATGATACATTTCCCTGCAGACTCCATGAAGTTCTCTGGACTTGTGAATTCTCTACTGGGTCTAGTATATACTTAGAGCAGCGGTTCTCAACCTGTGGGTCGCGACCCCTTTGGCAGTCAAATGACCCTTTCACAGGGGTCGCCTAAGACCATGCTGCATATCAGATAGTGACATTACGATTCATAACAGTAGCAACATTACAGTTATGAAGTAGCAACGAAAATAATTTTATGGTTGGGTCACAACATGAGGAACTGTATTTAAAGGGCCAGAAGGTTGAGAACCACTGACTTAGAGCAAGTCCCTTGGTGTCTCCAAACTTCAGATTCTTCTTCTGTGTACTCTTAACTCCATGAAATTGGGGTCTAGAGGATCTTCAGAAGCAGTACTACAGAGTCATCTCCGAATGATGGTTCTATATCTTGTAGAATTATGTTTATGATATGACACTGTATGTTCAACAAAACCTCCATTGATCAGAATGCTCAGGGATTATTAAGCACTAGAGGCCCAGTGCACAAAATTCATGCATGGGTGGGGGGGGTCCCCCCTTAGCTCAGTCTGCACCCTCTCCAATCTGGGACCCTCGGGGGATGTCCAACTGCAGGTTTAGGCCCAATCCTAGGGATCAGGCCTAAACCGGCCGTTGGACATCCCTCTCACAATCCTGGACCGCTGGCTCCTAATCACTCGCCTGCCTGCCTGATTGCCCCTAACTGCCCCCTCCCTGCCGGCCTGGTCACTCCTAACTGCCCCCCTCTGCCAGCCTGGTCACCCCCAACTCCCCCTTTTTTTTAGCCGGGTCGCCCCCAACTGCCCCCCCCCCCCCACGCTGGCCTGGTTGCCCCTCACAGCCCCCCCGCCAGCCTTATCACCCCACTCAGCCTGCTGTTCAGTCGTTTGGTCATCCCTCACTAACCCCCCTGCCGGCATGGTCATAGGCAGCCATCTTGTGAGGGTGTGAGGGTTAATTTGCATATGACCTCTTTATTATATAGGATTATTATATAGGATGAGTAAAGGAAGCATGGTAGAATGTGAAATACATCTAACAAAATCAGCTTAATTACCACCTTGAAGCAGGAAACAATCTCTGCCTTCAAATGGGTCACTTCTCTGGACCCTATCAATGGTAACAGCGATTACCCGATCATCTTTTTCACTCCAGTAACATGCACTTGGGCAGAGCAGATGCTCACCTGCAGTTTCTCTCCCCAGGTGCTTTATTGCATGAACTGTCTAATGACGGTGCTCACAAGCAGTTTGATCACTACCTCGAAGAACTGATCCTGCCCATCATGGTGGGCTGTGCCAAGAAAGGGGAGCGAGAGTGCCACATCGTTGTGCTGACCGATGAGGATTCTGTGGACTGGGATGAAGACCACCCCCCACCCATGGGAGAGGAATATTCCCAAAGTAGGAGCCACCTGCATGATGCAGATGTTTTTTGCAAGAAACACGCTACCCAGAATAGCAGCTAGATGCTAGAACCAGCGTGAATATCACTGAGAGCCAGTGATGAGCACACTCACCTGGAAGATCAGTTCAGTGCAGTGACGCAGGTCTGACTGTTACGCTGTGGAACATAGTGAATGTTATACCTTCCCTGCTGCTGGTGCCTGGTACTGTGTCAGTTCTGAGGCAGCCTGTTAAATGGTGGTGTCATTCTTCCATTTTTAAATCCTTTTGAACTGATAACACAGAATTCAAAAAGTACATAAGGATGCACATTGAGAAGTCTTGTTCCCACCTCTGCCTCATCTATCCAGTTTTCCTCCTCAGTTTCTTCCAGACGTTTTCAGTGCACATACATAAGCACGTTTTTCCTTTCTTTCAAATGATACCATATAGAATACAGACTATTCTATACAATTTCTTACATTAAAAGCCTCCATGCTCTTATTTATAGCTGTATAGTATTCCATTGCATGATTGTCATAATTGATTTAACCAGCCCTGTTGATGGACATTTAAGCTATAAATTATAAACGATGCTGCAGTGAATAGCTATTTATTTATTTGAATTTTTATGAGTTTAGTTGAGTCAAAGTGAAGGCATATGCCAGGGAGCAAGATCTCAAATGCTCCGTGAATATCCTTTTTATTAACACAATCTTTTCACACGTGCATATCTCTGCAGAATAATATTCCTAGAAATGAAATTTCTGTCAAAAGCTTTGTGCTTTTATAATTTTGATACATGTTGGCAAATTTTCCTCCATAAAGTTTGAATCAATTTACACTCACAAAACAGGAAGGTTTGTTTTCTACACAGTGTTTTACTAAAGTTTTATATTTGCTATTTGAGTTTTGGTTTTCATTTCTCATTTCATGAATGAGACTGACCATCTTAATTTTTAAGAGCCATTTTAATTTCCTTTTCTGTTAAACTATTTTTTCCTTCAGCCCAGTGCAAAATTGGATTGTTAGTCTTTTACTTAGAGATTTGTGTAAGCTCTCTATTTGTGACCTCTATTAAGGAAGTTAGCCCTTTGTAATATGAGTTGCAAATATTTATTTCAGTTGATTGTCTTTTTAGCTTTAATAGTGGTTTTGACTAAGTAGAGATGTATTTTTATATAGTTGAGTGTATCAACTTTTCTTTTATGGCTTCTAGGTTTTATGTCCTACCCAGAAAGGCCTTCCATATCCTATTTAACATTTAATTAGTGATCCACCTGATTTTTTTTTGGCATCAGGGCCAAAAGAAATATAACTTTTACTAGTCTGATTCTGTTAGCTCATCTCCTTCTTCTTAATGGAGTCTTTGCTTCATAACTAACCCCAGATCTTTTATTTTTTCCACAGTTCTTTATAGTTCCAAGCTCTACAGATTCTTCAAGTACATTGAGAATCGGGATGTTGCTAAAACAGTGTTAAAGGAACGGGGCCTGAAAAACATTCGCATTGGAATTGAAGGTAAAAACATCCCAGTCAATATTCAGCTTGCATAGCTTATGGAGGTAGGCTGCAACTACGGTCATAGCTTATGTCCTGAAAACTTCCAGAGGACCTAGACCAGGGGTTGGCAAACTTTTTGACTCGAGGGCCACAATGGGTTCTTAAACTGGACCGGAGGGCCGGAACAAAAGCATGGATGGAGTGTTTGTGTGAACTAATATAAATTCAAAGTAAACATCATTACATAAAAGGGTACGGTCTTTTTTTTTTTTTTAGTTTTATTCATTTCAAACGGGCCGGATCCGGCCCGCGGGCCGTAGCTTGCCCACGGCTGACCTAGACAGTGGACAAATGAAAATTACATTTCTACCCAGGTTTCAAGGATCTTTATTTTTGTTTTGTCCTTATGTTTACTTTTCACTTTATTTCCAGTTGAAAATGCTTTAAAGCAGCTGCAGGAACAAGTTCCAATTTCCTGCCTCGGCATAAAGGGAGCAGTGAGGGATAAGGCCTCTGGAGGGGTAAATGGAGCAGGTCTCAGGGGCTCACCAAGGGGAGAGCCACTCTGCCAGATCCTTTGTGAGGATCTTCCTGGGTCCTGGAAAGGTCCTTCTGAAAACTCTCTTGGAGGCTCTGAGTTTGTTCCATTATGTGCCCTTGAGAAATGCCTGGACGTTGGCAGAGTTGCTTCAAATGATCTTGAGCAGTGACAGCCTCCCCACCTGTGGTCTCTGTGGAAGGTCTCAGAGACTGATTCCTGCTGAAGCCGTCCTGGTCTCCCTCCATGGGACTGGGAAATATGTTTTGTTACTCTTACTGTCCCAGTCTTGCCCACGGAACCCATCAGGCCTTCATTGTGTCTGAATTAGGCTGGAATTTGAAGTTGGAAGAAATTTTTGAGATCTTCAATTAAACCTCTGTACTTCCCTTGTCTCTTTGGAAACCCCAGGAACAGGGTGGTAGGGATCACTCCATTTCCCACAGCAGCCCATCAGATTGTCCTACCATCAGAACATTCTTCCACATAATAAGATTTCTCCCATTCCATGTGACAGCCTTTCAGATACTTTAGGCAGCATCCCAGTTTTTTCTTTAGGCTAAACATTCCACATTCCCTTAACTGGTTCTCATACAATGTGCCCTCTAAGCAATAGAATTAGAGGACGGAGTAGCCATGCCCTAGCAGGGTTTTCATTCTGTAGTGTTGTTGCCAGTAACTAAAGCAGGGGTGGCGAACCTTTTTTCTGCCAAAGGCCATTTGGATATTTATAACATCATTCGCTTAATATAAATGTATAATATAATTCACGTAATATAAATGTATGTTGCTATGAAAAAAAACTCCTAGATTTATTGAATTTCAAGTCCTGCCTGCGGTTTCCTTGGCAGGACCATCCAAATGATTTTGCAGGCCTTTCATGGCCCGTGGACCAGACATTCTGCACCCCTGAACTAAGGCGTCTGAAATTAATAAGAGGTTTCTCTCCCCCTTCCATTAGAAGGGATAGAATTTTTGTTACTTCCCTTCTAGGGATAAGACCAACTAACTGAGCAGGAGGGCAGAGAGCGTGTAGGTGATTGGGGCTGGGAGGACATGGTCAGAGACTGGTCGCTTCCCCTGTAATTTTCATGGATTTGGGAGGAATTGATGTGGTGAGGAAGTATGGAAGCCAGAGTGAGCATTTGCTGAAGTCATGAAAACGGTCTTTTTCTGTTTCAGGTTACCCTACCTGTAAAGAAAAAATTAAGAGAAGACCTGGTGGCCGATCTGAAGTCATCTATAATTATGTGCAGCGCCCTTTTATCCAGATGTCATGGGAAAAGGAAGAAGGAAAGAGTCGCCATGTGGACTTCCAATGTGTTCGGAGCAAATCCCTCACTAATCTGGTAGCTGCTGGAGAAGATGTCTTGGAGGACCAGGAGATATTGATGCATCACCCGCCCCAGGTGGATGAACTTGACCGACTAAATGCCCCACTTTCTCAGATGGCTTCTAACGACTTTCAGGATTAGGGCCAGCTATGGGTCCACCTCTCTGCGAAGCGTTTGTCTGGGCTGCCAGAAGCCAGTTCTCCCCATCCTTTCCCTTTCTCCCATAATTAACGTGCGTCCTTTTCAGTATATCTGCACCTCCGCCGGGGATGAGAAAGCACTGGTAATGAAGCTCCCAGCTTTGCAGCAGCCCTAGTAACTTGAAATTTTAGGTCTGGTGCTGTTCACTGAGCCTTTGCATAACTGCAAAGCAGAAAAGCAAGTCAAGACTCCTGTTGCCTCATTCGGCAAAGCAGTTCTGATGCTTTATGCTGTGTCTTGGCTTTTGTGTGTTTTGTTTTATATCAGGCACATCACTTAGCCGCGAAGGGACCAAACTTAAAGGAGACAATCTCTATCTTCTGCAAATAGCACTAATGGCATGCTCATTAGAGGTTGATGAAGATGCCATTCCTAGTGGCATCTGTGCCCAGATTGCATCAGGGAAGAACGAGGCTCGTATTCAACATGTCTAAAAGGAAATTCGTAGGCGTTAAAATTCAGTTTTGTTTTTTCATTAAATGCAAGAACAATCCAAAACCACATGGATTCTGTCACAGGAAGGAATGTGGCATCACAGTGTTGATGGAACCTTAGCGTCATGGTGTTTATTCATTTAGAAGGAAACTCAAGTAGAAGAACCTCTCCAGATGGGGCCACTCTGATTGCCCTGGCTTGGAATTGGTGAGAAGCCATAGGTCTTCACCCAGGAGCAGCATGTTGCTGTGGATGTGGATGGGCGACCTTGGATATGACTTCAAGGCTCCAGCTGTGAGCAGACATTTCTCACTAGGGCTCAGTTTCTCAATAGGAAGACTTGTAAGAGCTCCAGTGAGGGGACGTGTGGGGGAAAGCTGGATGGGGAAGCATAACCTGCTCAGGCTTTGTCCCAGTGCAGGATTCTTCTTTGTACATTCTTTTCATACTTAGGGAATTTTTTTGATACCAGGATATTTTCATTTTGAAATAGCCTATCAGCTGCTCACACTGAGTAAGAAACCATACTAATATCATCCCCCAAGGAAGGATGAGTTGAAGGGAAGTGAGACCTAGTCATTGTTTGCTCTGTCACTGCGTGTCAATGCAGTGACAACCAGATCACCCTCCCCAGCACTGAACCGCCTTCCCCAGTGTCCCCATGGCTAGAGCCGGATGTCATGGGATCATCTCCCCTTTTGCGCTACAGGCCGGCCTTCCAGTCACCTGCCCCGGGTATTTACTCATCACAACTTACAAAGAGGCACATAGTTTTCAAGTCCTTTAAGAGCATGACTGGCTTTCTTAAATCCCATTCCCATAAGATGCTATAGGGCAAGCTGCTTGATTCTGTTTTGACCATGCTAGTCACAGTCCTCCAAGAGTGAAGTCGGATGGGCGTTGAAAGCTGCTCTTTCCAGGCTTGAAGAGCAAGAATCTTACTAGTAAGTGTATTCTCTGCATGTGGTCAGCATCACAGTGGAAATCAATGCTCTCTTCCTCTGAAAAGTAATCGGGGTTAAACTGAACCACCCCCCACTCCACCTGCAGAGTTCTGATTACCATGGCATCCATTTGTAAGGCTGATGGCCAGTGGGTAGTTTTATTTCTGTGAAACTGTTGGCTCATATTGAGGTCAGGTCTGGCTATGACCTTACCAGTATACATTCATGCCCACTAGGAACCGGCCAGCCCAGTATTGTTTAATGGTGCTTCCTTTACTTTTCAGTTGACTTCCATGTCATCACAAAGGACATTTGCATTGAGTGTGTAGTCTGTGGTATATGTATAACTTTCGTTACACAGCTAATGTATTGGTAACGTTTAGTAATTGTCAACACGCTGCAGCTGATACTCTAGTCCTTGCTTAGTTGGAAAGCCAGGTATGAAAGTATGGCATGTAGTGAACACTTTCTTCTATATCAGTGGTTCTCAACCTTCCTAATGCCGCGACCCTTTAATACAGTTCCTCATGTTGTGGTGACCCCCAACCATAAAATTATTTTCGTTGCTACTTCATAACTGTAATGTTGCTACTGTTATGAATTGTAAATATCTGATATGCTATATGTGTTTTCCGATGGTCGCAACCCACAGGTTGAGAACCGCTGTTCTATATGAATGATTAACTTATTCTGACTTTTAAGAACTATATCTTCTTTTCCCAAATTGGGTTAATGTGCTTTTGGCCCCAACCCCATGGACAATCTGGGGAGGTAAATCTGCCACTGTCACCAGGTGTGGTGACTGAGGAAGAAGCTGGAGCGGGAGGCTTCTCCTGCATCCGCGCCCTCCCAGCCTGGAGCTCAGCATCATTGTCACTTGGTGGCTCCCCTCAGAGCTGCTGTTTCCAGGGCCAGGACATTCTGCTGTGGCAGGACCTCTTGGCCAACATAGGCTGGGTTGTAGTCATTCCCTTAAGAATCAGTTACTGGCCACCTGGGCAAGAGGTGTTTCTAATACAAAGAGTAGGACTCAGGTCTGGTGTTTTTCTAAGTGCCTAAATGAGTAAGCCAGGTGACTTATACAGAAGCATTTTCTTAAGGAAATAGTTTTACCCAGACTGTCTTAGAGGTATCTCAGCAAGCCAAGATGAACCTGAATTTGAGGTTTAGAATCAGTTCATGTCTGCATCATACCACGTATTGTTGAGTAGGAAACATTTGCCATTGAGACTTGGAGAGTACTGGGCAAGGAACAGTGTTAAAATGTGGTGATATTAACAATTTCTCAGGCTGAAAAGAATGACAGCAAAAGGTAAAGAAGCTGGAAAGTAGCTGGATTTACTGCACAATATACAATAGCCAATATTTTCAACTAAATTCCAAGAGAACGATGTGATAATGTGCACAGTCTAAGGAAATACTGTGGAATAAGCCCAGGAAGGAGAGCTCTATCTGCACAGTGTTCCAACAGATCCTTGTGTAAGTAAAACCAGTCAGAACACAGGCTTTCATTCACACTGTCCAAGTGTGACATGGAGCCTTTTGTATCCAGTGAAAACAGAAAGTTAACAAGGGGTTTGAGTATTCCATTTAATGTCATCATTTTGAAATTGTTAAAATGCATAGTGAGTTCAGAAAGCAAACCTGATGCCTTCATGGGAGATGGAGCCACAGTCATGCTCTGGGTGGGACCACCACTGCAGGACATTTTCTCTTAAAGGCAAAATGCCTTTAGTTTTGCCTCTTTACTTTGTATTTAAAATTGCACATGTTTACCTACCAGTGTTTACGAAATCCTATATTTAGGATGCTTTTTTTTAAATAAAATATTATAATTTGTGTCCATGTTATTCTTTTGGCAGAAAAATAAAACTAGGTTTAAAAAGGGACTGAAAGGAGCGGCACCAGCGCCCAGTCTCCTTTCCTACAGCAGCCGTGGGCTTGCCACAGGCCTGTGTGTTTCCCGCTCTGCTGTTTGTACGTCTAGGTTCCAGAGCCCTTATGGTCTCCCTTCTCTAGTTCCTGGTTAACTTGCATTCGAGACCCCCTGAACCCTCAAATACAACTAAGTAGGACCTCGCAAAGTCAAATGTAAGTTTGAAAGATAGAGGACTCAAACTTTGATGTCCCAGTTTGGGTTTATAGCAAGTGAGGAACCACGGCATCAGTGAAAGGTACGTCCCTTGGAGACATCGTGGTAGAGCCTCTTTCTCATCCTTAGCCCTACTCGGGGCTGGTGTCTACTGAGGCCCCTCAGCTCAGCCTGGGAGCCTGCTGCTGGTGACACTGAATTTCAGGGGTGCTGAAGCAAGCCTGGGCCTTCCTAGCAAGCCTGCCTTTATCAGCTCAGAGGTTAAGAACACGCTCTGTAAACATGGCCTACAGAGTATGTTCTGTGCCGAGCACTGCTGGGCCACAGGGACACCCTGACTAGGACACGGTTCCTCCCATCAAGGGGCTTTTATGATCACATGAAGAAGACATCGGTAGACAGTCCAGGTCACTTAGGAGCCCCATAAGGGTGGAGTAGCCAGTTTTTACTGAGGGTATAGAGGTCACAAGAGAATTCTAGAGGTGACCCATGAACCAAATTGTGATGGATGAATACAAGTTGTTTTGGATCCATGAGGGGAGGAGGTATCGTAGGCCAACTCAACTGTAAGCAAAGGTGACATAATTGCTTACTGTCATCAGGGAAGTGGGTGGGGTGATGCAGAGAAGAGGCCAGAGTAAAGACAGACCTCAGACAACGGTGTATTGGGAGCCCTCAAGGCTTTATGCAGGAGAAGGACATGATCAGACTTAAAATTTAGAATTTCTTTGGCAGCAGGGAGGATGACAGGCTTGAAAGAAGGATCTGGGCAAAGGTCACTTGGAGACCACTGCGATGGGTTCAGCACGGAGTAAGGAAGGCACTGAGGATGGAAGCCATGCTCCGACCTGGGCGTGTTTGCTGTTGGGAAGCATGTAAGGCGTTTCTGGCTTGGATAGCTGAGCAGACTGAGCTAGAAAAAAGGCTATGGAGGCGAGAGGAGCCGGACAGCCTTGGCCTGAGCCGGAGAAGGCCATCCAAATGGCATTTCTGGTAGGCACTTGGCTCCATGAGGCCCGGCAATCTGGGGAGTAGTCTAGGTAGGCTGGTCACTTCAAAGACCTCACCACAGAAACATGGTAGTTGAAGCCGCAGTATGAGGCAGGTGGCCTAAAGATCCCGAGTGAAAAGAGGGCAAAAGTCACTGCTCTGAAGAGCACCAGCATTTAAATGGTGGCAGAGGAACTACAAGAAGGAAGTCGGAGAGGTGGGAGCTGTTTTTAAAGTCAACAGTGTGAGTGCAGCAGGTTGATCAAGATAAGGAGTCAAGAAACCAATGGGTATGGCAGGACACCAGTGACCACAGGAATAATAACAGAAATACCAGCACGGTTTATACATGGGATAATACCAACATTTCACACAAGGAAGAGGCACCAGACTGGAGTGGGTTGAAGTGGGGGAGGGAAATGACATAACAAAAGTGACTGCAGTGTTCTTCATAAAGCAGTAATTACTCAACTCCGTGCCTCTACCACAGCACAAGACCATACCTTCCTGCCTCCAACATCCTGGACTGCTCACTCCTCCCTGCCAAGTCACTGCTGTCTGCAAACATCTCCGGGAGCTTCCCTAAGCTTTCCAGCAACTTTGGGTTGGTTTAAACGTATTGTTACATCGCCACTAAAATACTAACTATAACCGATGCTGCATTGTTAGCCACTTGGTGGGAATTCTCCCCTCACTGATGTGCAGTTCAGAACCACACAGCACTCACTCCCTTGTCCGAGTGCCTGGTATTGAAACTCCATATAATATGGTGCTTAAATGTTATTTGGGCAAGATGTTTTTCTCTGAAAATAATGCCTGAACAAGCATGTGGAGGTTAGTTTTAAGTCAGTATTGGCTTTGATAGATAATTCTGGGAAAATATATGACCTAGCAAAGGAAAAGACCATTCACTGAATCCTTCTGAGTTCTGAAAACACCATAAGGTTACACACAAAGGCTATGCTTTTCAAGGAAATAATTCAGAGAAAAAGTAGTAGTAGTAAGTAGCAGAGGAATCCTATTATGCCATATAGATGAGTTTTAAAATTAACAATCTACTATTCAGACCTTGAATATTAATCCCAAAGGAATTCGCCTGTATGTTATTTTTCAAAGTAATTCCACAAAGCAATACGTGCCCGGCTGGCATGGCTCAGTTCTTGAGTGTCGACCTATGAACCAGGAGGTCACGGTTTGATTCCTGGTCAGGGCACATGCCCAGGTTGCCGGCTCAATCCCCAGTATGGGGGCGTGCAAGAAGCAGCCGATCAATGATTCTCTCTCAT